CGCAGAGGTGACTGTTCGAGCACCAACACCGCTGTCCTCCAAGGCGTAGTGGACGAAAAAAGACATTTAGTTGTCTGCACTGTGCAACGTGAATGCTTACTAACTGATATGTTCAATTCACCGCGACCTCAGGCCTGCGTGTGCGTGTTTGTGTGTGTGTCCTGTGTCCTACATATATTCACGTGTGTGTTACAGTGTGTCGTGTGTGCCATTAAAACCTTACAAATTGTTTTCTTTAAGCTTCTGGACCATCAGCTGTAAGATGCTGTATGACGCTAACGTGCTGAGGCAATCAACGTTGTTCAGTATGTCGTACTCTGAAGACATTTATGTATGGATAAGATCAATAAATGAGTTAAGCTACTGAAAGTTATTCATGCAGAAACTAGTGGAGCTACCACCAAGCTATTGAGATTTCTAGGTATGTTACAAGCTTAAAGTAGTATGATGTTTTATAGAGGCTTTATTATGTTTTTATGTATACTATGTTTTATTTATGCTGGGCCAAGTAAGCAAGTCCAACAACCATTTCGTTTTTCCTCCCAGGAACCAAGAGAAATCGATGGCGTCTCAATCGGTCACTTCCTGTTGGGTGATCCAGTGTATCCTCTCATAGACTGGATCATGAAAGGCTACACCCATTCCCCAAACATCACCCCTGAGCAAGAGTCCTTCAATGTCTACTTAAGCTCTGCAAGGACCACGGTGGAGATTGCGTTTGGGAGACTGAAGTCACGCTGGAGAGTTTTGATGAGGCGTAGTGACTTCCACGTTACATTCAGCCCTAAAGTGATTGCTACCTGTTGTGCATTGCACAATTTCTGTGAGAATGAGAAGGAAGTTGTGAATCCCAACTGGTCAGTGGAAGCGGCTACACTTGCATCGAACCTGCCACAGCCAGGTGGTCGTGCCAACAATCAAGCAGACGATACAAATGGACAGAGGATCTGAGTGCAAACTTCCCCCTGAGCAGACCATACCTTTAGACGTCTTCATTACATAATTGCCAGTTTGTCATAGGTTTGTAAATACAATTCTTGTACAGTTCATGTGTGTTTCGTTCCACAAATAAATAAACTCACAGAAGTTTTAGTTAAGTGTTTTAGGGGTTAGAGAAGGTGTTCCGGGTAAGCACAAGGTTGGTGGTTCGAGTCCAGACTGCCCCATGTTCCATGTCGAAGTGTCCCTGAGCAAGACACCTAACCCCTAATTTCTCCCCAGGCAAAAATTTGAAAAAGCCATGGGTTTAAAGTGTAATGTAAGTCGCTTTGGATAAAAGCGTCTGCTAAATGACCTGTAATGTAATGTCATGTAATTTATAAGAAATATTAAGAAAAGTAAAACTAGGTATAAGAGCACACAAGAAAAACAAGATATACAAGCACACAAGTATAAAAGGTAAAACCTTGAATGTCACAAAAAAACTAATATTTATATATATAAATATTGATTGTGTATATATATATATATATATATAGATATATATATATATATATACACACACACACACACACACACACACACACACGGAGGTAGAGTGTAGAAATTGTGCTGTATGAACGGTAAGGTGCTTTTCAGGCGGTAGTGCAAATAAGTAAGGCATCCATAACCATAATACGCATCTTGCGGTGGTTGATGTTGTGGTGGAGGTGAGAATGTGTTTGGTTGAGGTTGAATGTTATCCATTCTCTGCATCAGCTTCTCAACCATACTGCGGAGGATGCTGGCGATCAACCGTTCCTCCCGGGCCTCACTTCTTGCCATGTCCTCCTTCCATTGTTGAGTCATGACTTGCATCTGGTTTACCAGCACATCGACGTCTCTCATTCGCCTTGTTTGCTGGGTCCTTGTTCCTTTAAGAAATGGCAGGTATAAAGTCAGTTGTATCCCTACCGATTAGGCATGTGGTAGTAACCATCTTGACATCAGCTGTTTGTTAGACTACACAGGATGAGTGAAAGCATGGCATGAAGATTCTTTGTGATGCCCATATGTTGATGCAGTTATAATATTGCAGAATTTACCATGTAGATCATCGGTAATTGTAGCACGAAGTGGAGTAGTTGAAAGTGGTGGAGTTGACCTAGGTGAGGAGGTTCCAGATGAGCCTCCGAGCAGCGTCTCTTCCGGGTCCATTGTAGTATCTATAAGATGGTACAGCACAAATGATAATAAAACGTAATTTATATAGCACCTTTCATGCAAAAGAATGCAGCTCAAAGTGCTTTACAGCGAATACGTGCGCAATAACGCGCACAAAGAAATTGCATGCACATAAAAATAGAGAAAAGAAACATAAAAACTCAACTATAGTGCAAAAACAAATGTAGAAAGTACAGTTTATGTAATTGTTACGGCCAGCTCGTTTCGACCGTACATAAAGAAAACAAGTACAATGAAATGACTTGTAAGAGTTTAAATATTCTTTCAGAATAACGGTAACTTAACAAAACAAAGTCTAGGTTCAAAACAAAGGGAAAAATCATAATCCAAATGGGGAGAGAAAAGATTGGTATGAATTGGGTAACTAAACAAAGGTAGGCCAAAGTGACTTCTCCAGAGGCAGTCGCTCCCCTGGAGGAAGGTCTGTGGAGAAGGGAAATCCAGAGTTTTATCCTCTCCACAATTAAGAGGTAATCAGGGAACAGGGGTGTGCAATCTCCCACGCTCTCCCTGGAAGACACCGCCACCAGCAAGCAAGCAAATGAAGGGCGGGGTCGTAACAGGAATGTACACTTTATTACGTTTGTAACTAGCTTTCATCCTAAATTGAATTCCTTGCAAGTTAGTGGGAAGGTCTCCACGTTTGTCAAAGACAAAGGGCTAGCTAGCAAGTGGCACCCATGTTAGCTTCGAAAGTTACGGTTATCAAGTGGAACCCAGGTTAGCCTTACGTTTTATGATTGTACGTTGTTTTCATTGTCGATTTAATTCCTTGCAAGTTATGGGAAGGTACACATGTTTCAACACATATTAGCACTGCTAACACATCTCACAAACAGCATCAGCTAGCATCTGGAATCTAGCACTTGTTTTAGTGTGATGCAACTGAAATTAACTTACTCATGATAGTTGGCAACTGAACACCCGAATCTACGCCGTTGTGCTCTACTATAGGGACTCTTGTGTTGTCCATAGCGTTGTTTGTTTGTTTTCTGCCGTCCAGGCTCCCAGCAGTCTCTTTCGACTTCCGGGTCACGACCTGGGAGGGAGGAGGGCGGCGGGATCTCAAGCATGTGCAAAGACGCAAAGTCCAGTTCCTTATCCGATTCACCGTTACATACCGCAATAGTCGCACTGGATCGGATCGAGTTATCCAGGGGTGTTAATCGGATCGCAGTCGGACCGCACATAGTCGGACAAAGGTGTTAACATGAAACGGATAATTCGATTTCAGTCCGACTAAGCCAGTTATTCGAATCCATGTAACCACGCTGAGTGTCCATAAAAAGAGAGCAGAATCCAGACTCCAGTAAAGGGAGGGGGGACTTTGAAGTGGTGACTATAGGCTTCAAGCTTTGCACCCAGATCTTCTGAGGTACTGCCCTCTACACCTCAGACAGAGCTTAACGATGTGGTGTGGACGCTGCTCCAGTTCCGCCGGTCCAATTAGCAATTTTCTTCGACTCCTGAGGACTGGTCCCTTTCTGCTTGGCTTAGCTTACTGCATGTGGGCCGGATCCCCTACATGCACAGTCCCACTCTGCACAACGTTTGTTGTCTTTAAAGCTGCTGTGGGGTTAAGAGCCCTTCGTAATAAAGGCCATGTGCTTTTCCCACAAGTTCTGCCTCTGCATTACTCTTAAATGTCCACATCTAACCTTGGCACAACTTGATGTTTTATGTTCTGCTCAGTGAGCTCATTTCCACCGTCAATGCCAACCCTCAGCCCATTTCCTATTTTATGCTCATATGAAAGAGGCGGCCACTGAAACCTAAAACAAATACTTTAAAGTTCAACAGTGCTCCGACTTCTGAAGGCTTCTGATCAAACGGTTCATTGGCTTGTTCAGCTCACTCGTCAGTTTTAACGAGTCAGGCAATTTCTACGGGATTCGTCACCCTCTGTTGGAAGCATTTTTCAGTCCTTACCAAGTTAGACATAGCGATGATGCATGTGTGTTACATATATAGTTATTTAACATCAGGGGAATTGTCTTTTTTACCAGTTTCAGCATCCATCTTTCACCCTACAAGTGCGTCACCTGTTTGAGTGATAGATTTTAAGCGAAAAGTTTTGTTTTATTCTACACTTATTGCAACAGTGTCATGTAAACAGACACCGGCACAGAGGTGCAACTGTGAATTGTCTCACAAAAATACACACACGCCCACACACATTCACTCTCAAAAAATTATGTTTCTTTTGTGACTCTCTTCCAGAGCCAGCTCTCTCACTGGGCATCTACTGATACCCATTAATCATGAGCTCTCTTGTATTGTCAAGCGAGCCTTCTCTCCTCTCCGCCCACTACCACCCCGTCCCCCCCTTCCTCCCTCCTTCCCTTTTCTGTCACTTGTCACTTTTCACTTGTCACTTTCTGTTCGCTGGTGCACTTTATTTTTTAACTTTAACTTGTATTCCTTTATTATTAAACTAACCCATAGCCTTATACTACTAACCCATAGCATTATATTTTATTCTATTCCTTGTGCACTGTCGTCCATTGTCTGTTGTTACGCACCTACTACCATCAAATTCCTTGTATGTCTGACATATTTTGGCAATAAATGTTTTCCTGCCAGTTAACAAGCTGTGCCACCATGACAGTGATGTGTGTGCAGCTGAGGGATGCCTGACCACAGCCCTTATTGAAAGCATATTGAAATGCTCCAGCATGAAGGGGGTAGTGATGAGATTGTATTTCTCACTCCTTATGACAAGATGATGTTGCCAAAATCCCATGTTTTTATTTTACACACAATGAATGATATTTAACAATGTTTGCAAATCAAAGCATCACTCATTTTTTCTGCCCGACTGTACTTTGTGTGTGCAGGCTCAGTGTCCCTCAGCGTGTTCCTGGTCTCCGTCGCTGTGACAGTGTGTGCTGTTTGGCTAGTGGCTCTTTGTGGTGTCTGTGGTTGGTGTCAACGCAAGCTGGTGAGTTTCAACGTGAGAATCATTAACAGAGACGGTAAATGTACTGTAGTTATGGTTGTTAACCCTAAAATGCTTTATCTGCCGTGATTAAGCCTGTGTCTTAAGCCTTGACCTGTCACACACAATGGACAAATAGTGTTTTTGGTAATGTAAACTGTAAACTGTATGTGTCTGTGGTCGCATAAGACATGCTAAACACACAAGACAAAGTATGTCTAATCCAGGTATCTGTATTGACAAATTCTGAAAAGAAATGATTGACTGATGATTAAGCAGCGGACGACCATTTTAATAGTCTACTCCTCTCCAATTTTGGTGCAATGTGGGTAATATTTAGTAAGCGTATAGACTCTTGAGCCGACTGAAAGTCGAGCGAAGCCCTATCGTGTGTCAAAGAATTATTATTATTATTATAAAGGTTCTGAGACGACTGAAAGTCGGGCGAAGCCCTGTTGCGTTTCCAAGAATTATTAGGGCCTGAGCCGACTGAAAATAATACTTTCAGTCGGAGCCCTATTGTTTTTCGAAGAATTATTATTAGTGCCTGAGGCGACTGAAAGTCGGGCAAAAGCCCTATTGTGTTTCGAAGAATTACTATTATTATTTGCAATATGGTGCAATGTAGGTCATATTTAACGAGCATGTAGACTCTTGAGCCGACTGAAAGTTGGGCAAGGCCATATTGTGTTCCAAAGAATTATTAGTGCCTGAAAGTCGGGCGGCGCCCTATTGTTTTTCGAAGAATTATTATTAGGGCCTGAGCCAACTTAAAATTGGGCGAAGCCCTATTGTGTTTCGAAAAATTCTTATTATTTCTCCACTTTAATCGCACTTTTGAGGCCTTTATCATATTCAAAAACTCGCGAACTGCGAATCAGAAGTGCGAAAAATTGAGATATTCTTGGGGTTGCGCATTTGGGGATACAAAAATGGCTCTCTAATGGCTCTGGAGCTGGAGGTGCTCCCTCTGGAGAAATTTTTGCTCAGTTTAAACGATTGACTTGAAATTTGGCACATATCTGCTCTTGGACAAAAAAGTCAATCATGATATGCAAATGCCCTAATTAATAATAATTATTGGGTCTATGCCCCCCCCCGATACATAGAAATCGTTTTGATATCTTCTTGTTTTGAGAAGATATAGGCTAATGAACTTCGCAAGGGGTGTGGCTTAATCTTGAAAGAGTCATAACTTCCAAATAATTTGGCCTGCCCTCACCAAACTTGTGACACATGTGAACACACCCTGATTTTTTGAGAATATTTGAAGAATAGGGGGCGCTGCAATTAATCATTGCAAATCTCACTTTTTGGCCTATTTTTGGCCTATTTTCGTGATTTCCTAAAGTTGTAAAAGACCAAACTCCTCCCAGGGATTAAACCCGATTCTTTTCAAATTCGCGCAGTGTGATCTCGAGGACCTTAGCTCTAAAAATTATATTTTGCCGGAAGAAACCGCAAAGTTGATCCTTCACCAAGAACAACTAAACTGTTGTAACTCTACTCCACATCATCGGATTCTTTCCCATTTCCACATGTTTGATGAGACTTTGGGCCTAAAGATGTGAAGTAAAGTAAAGTCACATTTTCTAGTATCCATTTTCTAGCATTTCGAAAGGCTTTAATTTCTAAAATGGTACATCCTGGTTATCACCGAATGACACGTGTCAAATGTTTAGTCTCTGCCTGAAGTGGAAATAATGTGTAAACATTAATTCTTTCCTTTGAAATGTAATCTTAAAATGACCAGATGTAGTCTTGTGATTGATATTTTGGTCCATGTATAGCATTTTGAGAGGCTTCAATTTTGGAATAGTAGATCAGAATGTCCTGGATATCCCTCTGTGACACCTTGCGGATGTGTACTATCCGTCTGAAGTGAAATGATTATGTAACTATTGATAGTTTGCTTTTAATTCTAATCTCAAATTGACAAAATGTAGTCCCACGATGGAGAATTTGAAGGAAAATCGCTCATGTATGGTATTTTGAGTGGCTTTCATTTTGGAACGGTACATAGGAATGTCCTAGTTATCCCTGATTGACCCCTTGGGGATGTGCACTATGAACCTGAAGTGGAATTATCATGTAGCTATTGGTCGTTTCCTTTTTAAAAAACATCTGAAATTGATTATAAGCCTGGTGAATGAGATTTAAGAGAAGGTTTGGTAATCTATGACATTCCGGGTCGCTCCACGCGGTTAACGACAACTGACTATCGGATGCTTTGTCCGACGGCCACAAGAGTTCTTGGCTGCGTAACTAGCCGTCCGGCAGGTGCCCCGATGTGCGGAGTTGCGAGGACCCGTCCAACGCTGCTCGCAGCTTTAATTAGGGTCCTCGCAACAACTAGTCGTAGACGAACCTATTGTATTTCAAGGAATTCTTCTTCTTCTTCTTTTCTCTAAGGAATTTTCCCCTTTTGAGGCATTTATCATATTCAAAAAGTTGTTAGATTTGGCATGCTTATCAGAGCTGGTGAAAATTTTGATATTTTGGGAACAAAATTCGCACTTTGAATTTGGGTACAAAGAAATGTCTCCATAGCGCCCACTAGAAAGGTAAAAATGTACCCCACTAGGCCAGTTTGAAATTTGGCACACATGTGCTCTTGGACATCCTCTACAAAAAAGACAATCATGGTATGCAAATGTGCCTAACTATATTTTCCGTCATTTTGAATTCTGTGAAAAACACGTTTTTGGCCATTGCTTCTCTAGCCGTCCGGCTGGTTCCTCGACGTGCAGAGTAGAGAGGACCCGTCCAACGCTGCACGCAGCTTTAATTTATTTTTTTATATTTTGTTTCTATTCTTTGCTTTTAGCCAACTTTCTGTGCTGGATTCCTGCTCATTCTCCCTCTGTTGTCCCGCCATTTTGAAATGTTCACTGTAGCATTAAATGATAAATGAGCCTCTTTTGTTAGCTTTTCCTTTACTCAGAGAAGTTCAAAGAGTGTAGTATCTCCAGAAATTGTAGAGTATTTATTGTAATGTGCAAAATGATTGTGCTTTTTATATACATCCCTCCTGGGCATCCAGATATGTCAACGCTTTTATAGTTGGTGGTATGCTTTGTGTTCTCAAAATACTCTACAAAACTATAAAGTCATGTATGTATTCATCCAGCATGTCAAGCCAATGAGCGGTTATTAAATTTTGTCTTAAAAATTATGAGTGGTCTCTCTCTCTCTCTCTCTCTCTCTCTCTCTGTGGACTGATGTGTTCAGTATATAAACTTTCATCTCTATTATAGCTTACAAAGAGACTGTTATTTCCTAAATTAGTATTCAAGTTACAAATACAACTCTTGAATGTAGCTGTTGAACGTGTTGTTCCTGTCAGATCAGTGTTTATTCATCCGCTGACCTTTCTATATCAGAATGGTGGCAATTATACAACATAGGAGCAGATTTTTTTCCTTGTGTGTTAAAGATATAATAAAATGATATCTGTGTTGTCTGGATGTCATGGAGTTTATGTGAGTCATTATATAAAGAACTAAGGATAAGTGCATAAACTGTGGCACAATTTGCATTGCATACACGTCTGCTATTTGTGAGCATTGCATGTATCGTACATAGATCTCTGAGTCAACTCTGTTTATTAATTTGGGTGATTGCATCTCAGCGTTTACCCACTGGCTTTTCTCCCAAAGGCTACGTTCCAATGTCACCCTAAAATAACGTCAGAAGTAGAGATGTGTCACGTAGCTCTGAGGGCAAAATGAAACACCACTTGCCCAACAAGAAATTCTGTGACTTAAATACAATTCACTTTAAATAAACAAAATGTCAATTAAGTCTCATTATCACATTTGGCTTGCGAGGCTTTTGCAAAACATTCGGTGTGCCGTGATAGTGACAGCTGACAATCAGAGAGAGATAAGAGATACGTAGAGAACTGTAATGTTACATTTTATATTTTTAAATAAGCAAACCAGAGGCCGACACTTCTAAAGACAAAACACACAAACCTGTTACGAGGTCGCTGTTTCTTTGGGCCGTGTAGCAGACCTCAATTGAGTTCTAGTAAGGCTTAATACAAAGAGTCATTGTAGAGACATGAGACAGTGTAAGCAGGGAGGTTGTATAGTTCGTGATATCCAGTCCCAAGCTCCATGTTCAATCCCCAACAACTGAGCCCAGCAGTGAAATTGCCTTTAAATTTAGGATCCAATTGTCCAAGCAAGCCATGTAGCAGCTTAGTGTATGTTCCTCCTTCTCATTTTCCGAGAATGGAGAATCCTCGCCTCTCCTTGATGTGTATCCGAGCATCACTTTCAAGAAACAGGCGTGGTGTCCGGGGAGGCCGGGCATCTTTAGCTGGAACCCTTACCTGTCCAGCTTGTAGCAAAGTGTCAATAGAAATTACTTGCATTGTGACATTTGTGAAACACCTTTACCTGTAATGAGCTTTGACTGCATGTGCTTTTAGTGCACCCAGCAGATCTCACTTTTTGAAGCCTTTAAATTTGCCATTATTAGTTACAGCAGGTCATGCTCAAGCTTTTTGAAATCAGCCTGATGCAAGACTTTCTAAAGGCTTCTACCCAGCGGATTACTTTAAAGAGCCATTGCAATGTAAATTTCAGGGTGGTGCGAATGATAATCATAGTCAGAAATGCCTCTCCACAGTAGATTTGATTTGACTTTGATGAGTGGAATCAGGAGACCATCAGGTAAAGGACTGATGGCACAGTGTTCCTGAGATAATGTGAGAGGGATTTACACTGGAAATCAGTGAAGCAAAAACAGAGCTTCAAAGGACAAATCTGAGCTACCTATTCTTTCTCTTCTTTCTCTGCAATCTCCTCCCTCCACTTGGCTCAAGGGGAAGAGGAATAAACCAGGAGTGGAAACAGCAGACGCTCCAGACTCAGCACATGGGCGTGGGGAAAAGAAAGGCATCAAGTAAGCACCGGGTAACTAGTTGGGGTAGAATAAATCTGGTCATAATTAACTGTTGCTTAATTGCTGAAGGTTTGAGGCGTGTGAGTGATCTTTGTGAAATCATTTAATATAAATTTTAATCTAACATTACGGTATTTTCGGTTCTCGATGGACCACGACTACATGTCACCGCCAGGAAATGTCAGCACTTTATTCCACAAAATGCCTCTCATCACCACTTCTCTTTTATAACCTGCTGGTGCTGTCTCAGCTATTTTTGAATGTCTTTTTTTTCTTTTCTGGTTTTGAGCAAATGTAAATGTATTCTAACTTGAGCCCCTCAGCCTCTTAATTTTAGCTTTTTTTTTTCACTGGCCCCAACGGCATTGGTGTGCTCACTCTGCCTCACCTTCAAACTTATTCTCCTTGTACACTGTCTTTCTCTCCTGCTCTGTCCCTTTGCTACAGCTCCGACCCCTGCTGTGTGGCTAGTATGAGGTCATTGGTTCTGCTCACCTTTTCCTCTTCTACTTTGATTGTTTGTGGTTTATCTCTCTGCCTTGTGTCCATACGTTCATGTGTTGTCACCGCTCACGCTGAGGATGGTGCCCTGACTCCTCGATGTTTACTCAATTGTGTTTCATCAGTGGAAATGACCGGAAATGAATCACATGCTGTATGTATTCATCAGGTTCTGACCTATTATTTCCTTGCTTCTCCTTCTCTTTCTCTACTCTATCTCTACTACATCACATTGCTTTACGAAAAGTTTTTGTGAATGCCTTTTTCACCCAAGCTGACCTTTTTTTTCAAATCAAACACTACTACTTTACTTTAACTTGCGTTATCTGTAATCTGTGTATCTCCCTGTCCTGATTGAGTGAACTGAGATGGTTATTGTTGAGGACGGTTGACCGTTGAACCAGTTGTGGTACCAGTGTTCACCTGTGGTCCAAATTCATCTGCGGCTGATCCCCCATCGATCTGATATCCGATGTTTACTGTCATTGTATCACTTCAACTGTGCCTACTGCCTGGCATATGGGGAAATAGGGCGACAGTGAAAACCATGTTTTTACTTGATGGAATAAAAGTCATTTTTTAATTGAGTAGGCATTTAAATCCATTATAGCAGTAGCAAGGTCACACCCATCTCCCAATGAACGCGGAATGGGCTCTAAGTGTAGACATCCTGCTACAAGGCATCCGTCTAAAAAGCTGTCTGATAAATGGTCATCTTTAATAGACCTAGCTGTTGAGGACTGTGTGTCAAATGGGCTGCCTAAAGGAGGTAGCTACGTGCTCAGCACCGCATTGGATGTATGGATCGCTGTCTGAAAACTGCCTGAAGAAGATGGCTGCTGATCTCAGGAAACCAGCTTTAGACCCTGGTGGTTCTGTTTGAGAAGTTCATTTTTCAACCTTCGAGAATGTCATTTATTATAAGCTGTTTTTCAGCAGGTACTGTCTTTCCAGCAGTAGAAAATAAATGAACTTTTCACTAAAGTATTTGGTCAAATGAATGCTTTTTTTGTATTGGATGCCCTCCAGTAAAAATTCTGACATTCACTTAGAATGAGGAAACATAAAATATATATATTTTAACTAGGGGAGACTCGGGGCAGCCTCGTGACTTAGAACAATACTGTGCTGCCAAATGACAGCTGGTAATCATCTCCAGTTGGAGATTCTGTCGAGATCAGATCAGCTGCTTTCAATGTGTTTAATGGAACTGGGCCTCATTTATCAAATCATACCATACCATACCAGCACAATTTATTGGATCCAAAGTTCAATCTGATCATTTTTTAATATCAAACTTGTTATATATTGGATGTCAGCAACAGGCATCTCAACGTTGTGGTGAATTGACGCAGCATTTTTTGATACATATTATACATACTTAAATCAATCTGACCACTTCAATGTTTATTTTATCAGGAATCAGGAAACATTTATTTGCAAAATATGTTAAACATACAAGGTATTTGTCTTGGCGGTTGGTGCGTGACAGTGTAGACAGTGTAACAATAGACAACAAGACAGCAGTGCACAAGTAATAAAATAAGGTAAAACGAAATGCTAATGCAATGGATTAGTAGAATAAGGCTATGGGTTAGTATAAAACAAGAGAATAAAGTTAGAGTTAAAATTTTTAAATATAAAAAAAGTAAAAAAATATTAAGCATAAAGTGCACTAGCGAACAAGTAACAAAATGACGAGTGACGACAAAGTGAAAAATTACAGTTAAAGTGGCATGTGCAGTGTGAAGGGGAGTGACCAGTGGAATGTTACACTCAGTCAGTGGGGGACCGGCTCTGTTGATAAACCCGACTGCCGACGGGAAGAAGCTGTTCGTGTGGCGGGAGGTCTTAGTCCTGATGGACCTCAGCCTCCTGCCAGGTGGAAGGGGCACAAACAATTTTTGTCCGGGGTGAGAGGGGTCGACTACGATCTTTTTAGCTCGCTTCAGAGACCTGGAAGCGAACAAGTCCTGCAGGGACGGCAGATTGCAGCCGATCACCCTCTCTGCAGAGCGGATAACACGCTGCAGCCTGCCCTTGTCCTTGGCTGTGGCTGCAGCGTACCAGACGGTGATGGAGGAGCAGAGGATGGACTCGATGATGGCCGTGTAGAAGTGGACCATTATCGTCTTTGGCAGGTTGAATTTCTTCAGCTGCCTCAGGAAGAACAACCTCTGCTGAGCCTTCTTTGTGATGGAGCTGATGTTCAGCTCCCACTTGAGGTCCTGGGTGATGATGGAGCCCAGAGAACGGAAGGATCAGTCCAATGAGGGTGGTGTCATCCGCAAACTTCAGGAGCTTGACGGACTGGTGACTGGAGGTGCAGCTGTTGGTGTACAGGGAGAAGAGCCGAGGGGAAAGAACGCAGCCTTGGGGGGAACCGGTGCTGATGGTCCGAGAGGCTGAGACATGTTTCCCCAGCTTCACGTGCTGCTTACTGTCAGACAGGAAGTCTGTAATCCACTTGCAGGTGGAGTCGGGCACGTGCAGCTGGGAGAGTTTGTCCTGCAGCAGAGACGGGATGAAGGCAGAGCTGAAGTCCACAAACAGGATCCAGGCATAGGTTCCTGGGTAGTCCAGATGCTGGAGGATGTAGTGGTAGACCATGTAGACAGCATCGTCCACAGACCTGTTGGCTCTGTAAGCGAACTGCAGGGGGTCCAGGAGGGGGTCGGTGAGGGACTTCAGGTGGGTCAGGACTAGCCGTTCAAAAGACTTCATGACTACAGAGGTCAGGGCGACAGGCCTGTAGTCATTGAGTCCTGTGATCCTGGGCTTCTTGGGCCCAGGGATGATGGTGGAGGCCTTGAAGCAGGCTGGTACGTGGCATGTCTCCAGGGAGGTGTTGAAGATGTCAGTGAACACCGGAGACAGCTGGTCAGCACAATGCTTCAGGGTGTGAGGGGAGACGGAGTCCGGACCGGCTGTCTTACGGGGATTTTGTCTTTTAAAGAGCCGGTTAATGTCTCTCTCCAGAATAGAGAGGGTCGTTGCTGGTGGGGGAGGGGAAGGTGATATAGATGAAGAGGCGTGAGCACCTGATGGGCTGGGGGAGGGAGGGGAGGGGGACTGGGGCCGGTTGGTGGAGCTGTGGGGGATGGGTTCAGGACATTGTCTTTCGAATCTGCAGTAGAACTCAATCAGCTCGTCTGCCAGTCGGAGGTCATTCATGGAGTGGGGGGTTTTTGGCTTGTAGTTAGTGAGGTGTTTGAGGCCTCTCCAAACCGAAGCAGAGTCACTTGCTGAGAACTGTTGTTGGAGTTTCTCAGAGTACAGTCGTTTAGCGTCTCTCACCGCCTTGCTAAACTTGTATTTTGACTCTGTGTACAAGTCTTTTACCCACTCCTGAGCTGTCCTCACAGAAGCCGATGTAGGAAGTTACAGCCTCTGTGAACTCATCCAGACTGTCAGTAGCAGTCCTGAAACCATCCCAGTCTGTGCAGTCAAAGCACGCCCGAAGATCCTCCAGCGCCTCACTGGTCCACTTCTTGAATTCCCTCACCACAGGTTTGCAGAGCTTTAGTTTCTGCCTGTATGCAGGAATCAGATGGACCATGACGTGGTCAGAGTGTCCCAGTGCAGCTCGAGGGACGCCGTGATAAGCCTTGCTTACTGTGGTGTAACAGTGATCCAGCGTGTTCTCCTCTCTGGTGGGGCATTTAATAAACTGTCTGTATTTAGGAAGTTCATGGGTGAGATTACCTTTCTTAAAGTCCCCAAGGACAATAACTAAAGAGTCCGGGTTGGTCCGCTCCACAACCGTATCTGGTCGGCAAGTGTCCGCTGTGCCTCGTGCACGTTGCCCGCCGGCGGCATGTAAACACCGACCAGGATGAATGAAGCGAACTCACGGGGGGAATAAAAGGGTTTGCAGTTGATGAAGAAAGTTTCCAGATCAGGAGAACAGTGTTTTAGGATCACTGTTACGTCGTTGTACCAGCTGTTGTTGAAGCAGAAGCAGATTCCTCCACCCTTTGTCTTGCCGGAGAGCTCCGTGTCGCGGTCCGCTCGGAGCAGCTGGAAGCCCGCCAGCTGGAGCGCGGAGTCCGGTATCGATCCGCAGAGCCACGTCTCCGTGAAGCACAAGACGGAGGATGTAGAGAAGTCTCTGTCTCTCCTCACCAGCAGCTGAGTTTCGTCCAGTTTGTTGCACAGTGAGCGCACGTTGGAGAGAAAGATGCCTGGCAGCGGAGTGCGAGAACCACGCTTGCGGAGTCTCACCAGCGAGCCGGCCCGTTTTCCTCTCCTACGGCGTCTCACCGCGTGACGAAAGGTGAGCGCACCTTTGACTAGAATGTCCAGTAATTCCACGGAAGAAAGCAGGAAAGTTGGAAGTAACTCCGGTGGAGTTGTTCCACGGATGTTCAAGAGCTCATCTCTGGTGAAAGAGCTCCGGGAATCGCAGCAGGAAACATAATTAACAACAAAAACAACAAAAAAACAAAGCGCACCGAAGCACCGAGGCGGCCTTCAACGACGCCATCTTGGATCAAGCT